GTGACCATGAGGTGTTGACAAGATCAGGTAGCAGGCATCAAAGAACGAAAAATCATATCATTGTAAATGGGGGGGAGTGCAGATTGGGGACCAAAAGCCCATTTGTACACAATTGGACATCCCCTTCCAGAAGGGTCACGGGGAGGAGATGAGCCAGTCAGGGTGCAGTGTAGCAATGATGAAACATACAACTTTCCTCTAATTCTTAAATGCTTCCTCCCCACCCACACTATCATGATCCCAATTCTATCTTACAAATCTGGCTAGACCAGAGGATGTACTCTGCTACATATAAGAACTGGAAACACAGGGAATCCAGGACAGATGAACCCCTCAGGATCAGTGGTGAGAGTGGAGATACTGGAGGGTGGAGGGAAGGTGGGGTAGATAGGGGGAACCAACTATAAGGATCTACATATAACCTCCCCACTGGGGGATGGACAACATAAAAGTGAGGGAAGAGAGGGAGATGTTGGACAGTGTAAGACATGACAAAATAATAATATTTTTTAAATTATCAAGGGTTCATGAGGGAGAAGGGAGTAGGGTGGGAGGGAGGGAAATGAGGAGCTGATACCAAGGGCTTAAGTGGAGAGCAAATGGTTTGAGAATGATGAGGGCAACGAATATACAAATGTGCTTGACACAAAGGATGTATGTATGGATTGTGATGACTTGTATGAGTCCTCAATAAAATGATTTAAACATATATATTTCTGTGAGTCCCATTTTTGCACAGTTTACAAGGTCCTGTCAAATCTTCCCCATGCTTATCTCTATTTTAACCTCATCTTGCTATTTCCCTAGGATACTCTTCCCTCCAGATTTTCCACAAGATTATGTGAACACTTTTATTACAACTCTTCTTTTTACCCTTTGCATGCCTAAGATTTGTATACCTTTCATACCTCAGCTTAAATACTTCCACATAAAATGTTTCTAGAATCTTCAAATAATGGTGTAGCTGTTGCTTCCAAGTGCCACTTAGGATCCTGTGCTTTAATTATTGACTAGGTAACTCCATTCAATCTGACTCCCATCCAGTTGATTTTGACTCATAGTGATTTAGCTATGAGTAAGAGCACTTGAGGAATAAAGCAAAGCTAATTCTAGCCTATTAAAATGAAATATAAATGTTTTAAATGTTGGTTAGCTAAATCACTATGAGTCAGAATCCAAGGGATGGTAGTCCGATTGAAGGAGTCACCTAGTCAATCACAATGGGCCAGGCTGCAAGGTAGGAAGGAGGTTGCAGCAGATGCATCACTGCTGACTTGGGTGAGCATTAACACTGCTGACGCGAGGCACTTGAACTACCACCAGTATCTCTGCCTTTGCCGCTTCTGATTGACAGAGCCCAGGTCACAGTACTGTACCCCGAGAAGAGCAAGCTCTAGCCTTCCATCTTGGGGGGTGTTGAGACCCCCTTGTTATTTAGTTTTATTGAAGAAAATAAAAAATAAGACATAGAGTGTAGCAAAAAGATAAATGAATAATTAAAATAATTTACATAATGTTTTTATTCTTACCTACAGGGAAAAACAAACCTAGTCCCTGAAGATGGATTCCCAGAGGACCATGTACACATTGTGTTTTCACTGCCTGTGATTCTACATATTTAATATCTTTTTGACCAATGTCCATAAATGAAAGGTGTTTGTGTGTTGAAATCTTTCACAATAATTTTGAATTTTTCATTCATCAATATAATCTTAATACTTTCTGCTCTCTATATTTTGAGACTATAAAATTAAGTGTATAAGAATTTGGACTCTTTCAAGTGAGTAGAAACGTTTGTCATTATATAGTGGTTATGCATAATGTTCTCTGCTTTATGGTCTATTTTGACTTATATTTTGAGAATTAAAAGTGTGGTCTTTTAGCTAGTACACGATAAGTATACAATATTCTAATATGCATCTACCTCGTTTCCAAATATCACATATTTACTTCTCTGTTCAGTTTGTGACAAAACACAGTTGCAGTCCAATTCAAGCTTGTGGAAACACCTAGATGAGTAATATCGTATGCCCTGTGAAGGGAGCCCGTAATAGTGTGGGTTAAGGTTTGAACTGCTAGGCCAGCATCTTGAAACCGCCAGTCACTCCATCAGAGAACAATAAGGATTTTTGTTTCTGTAAATCTTTGCAGCCTCAGAAACCCACCAAAGCAGTTCTACTCTGCCTGACAGGGTGTCTGTGAGTCAGAATTGACTCCAGCAGTGAGGGGTTTGGGGGATATACCTTCTCAGAGCAGCAGTCATACCAACGGGCAGGCAGTTAAGTGGGAATGCAAGCATGGACGGATGATAAAGAGGAATATGGAAAGATTTTCAGCCTCAGCAAATTGAAAGGGCATTGCTAACCTTTTCCACCAGGTTTGAAGCATTTGGGCAGTGAAAGGGGCCAAGAACGGGAACACAAGGGTGAGGATGTTACCACGTGCACTCGGCAGTGCTCCATGCCCCTCTGATATTAGTTTTCCCAAACTTGTATGAAATAACTTATTAGTTTCCCGGTACCCTTGCAGAGTTATAAACTCTGTGGAGATGGGCAGTGCCCAGATGTGTCTGCTCTACAGATGATGCATAAGAAAGAGACTTTTTAAAAAGTTAAGTGAGTGAATGAATAAAGGTTGAGATGAGGGTATCGACAGGGTAGAGGGAGGTGGGAACCAGAGAAGGTGCCAGGCTTCAGGGTGATGACCCAGATCAGCTGAGGGCTGATGCTGGCCACTCCCATACAGCTCCTTTCTTCTCATCCACTTCTCATTCTCCGTGGACAGATTAAGGTCTCTGGGAAACCATGAAAAAATTGTGATGGGAACGGCAAGCTCAAATACTCCTCAAGCATCGGGAGGATCTGGGCACTGAAAGCCACTTCTGTTCCCCCTCCCTCGGCTGAGGGGCTGGAAGAGGGTTAGCAAGTCATAAATCCTTTCGGGGGTGTTTAGAAGCTATATAAAGCCCTGGGCTGAAGATCCGCTTCCACATTCTGCAGCCGATGCCAGACCTCCCAGTCCTCCACGGAGAGAAAACGTCCATCCAGTAAGTGTCTCTGGGCGATGTTTTTAAGGACTTAGTGGAATTAATGATAAATGGACTAGTTCAAGAGCAGCTAAGCTGAAGGCACTGTCTGATAGTCTGATTAAGGAAGGCCCTTTGGTATGACTGGGGGAGGCGTTTTCCTGCTTTTGAAGCCGGCATCTAGAATACAGTTCTAAATTACACTGAATGTGTGACACTCGGGGATTTCAGTTTGGCAGACCTCAGTGCCCCTCTTGCCTGGCCATTTCCTAGCTGTGGGACTTGGGGTAAATGATTTCTCTAAATTTTACTGATTTTTTTTTCAGAGTACTTATCATTTTTGGGTTTTAGGGAGGTGTAAATGCACTGCCAGCCTGCAAAGGTCAGTGTATGGTATGCAGCTCATACCACGTCCTTACTCACAGTAGCTCTTGAGAGAAGAGCTGAGGCGTTAGGGCCGCAGAAGCCCACAGGGGCAGGTCTAGTGTGTCCATCCCCAGAGGTTGTTCTCAGTCGGAGCGGACGCAATGGCAGTGTGTTTGGTTTGGTGGAGTCGCTTGTGAAGATTAGTGCAGAGCTGAGAACGGAGATGATGCAGAGAGGTGGCGGTAGCAGACAACAAAGAACAAAGCACGAGGTCCTTGACCCGACAGAGCTGTTCCTCACCCTGCAGAGAGTGAGGCGTGGTTCTCCCTGTGGGAGCAGAGAGGCAAAGGGGCGGTAAGGGGAGAGTTGGGATGCATTGCTATGAGGTCCAGTCCAGTCAACCCGACTCCAGGTTAACCGGATAGGGGGGAGGAGAAGTGCCCGAGGGGGTTGTCTAGTCTGAAATCTTCATGGGAACAAGTTTCTTGTCTTTTCTCCCCTGAAAGATGGGTGAGTTTGAACCACATTTCCTTCCGTTAGTAGCCAAGCATGTAAACATCGTATATTAGGGCTCCTTGGGAACAGGGATTTTTTTTTAAGCAAACACATTGTCATGAGTCAATTCTGACTCAAATGTCCCTATAGGACAAAAGAAAAAGGGTTTCCAAGACTGTAATCTTTACAGAAGCAGACATATAGGTTTCAAGCTGACAACCTATCAGTTAGAAGTCAAGTACTTTAATAACCGCATAACCAGAGCACACTGGTAATTGGGATAAAACCTACACACTGCCCTAGCGTCAATTCCCAGTCTATATAGGTTTCCAAGACTCTGATCTGTAAGGGAGCAGAAAGCCTCAAATCCCTCTCGTGGTTCTGAAACACTGACCTAAGGTTAGCAGTACAAAGCCAACCTGCTCTGCCACCAGGGCTCCTTAGGGTAAGGGTAAGCCCAAAACTCACTGGAATAGAAAGCCCCTTCGATCCCCCTGGAGCAGCTGATAGTTTGAAACTGTTGTCAGCAGCCCAAGGCCTAACCGCTACACCTCCAGAGCTAAAGCAAGGTGAGTCACGGGGAGTTTAAATTGCCAGAAGATAACTAATTGTGACAGAATTGAATTGATTTCTATTTAGAAATGAGGAGAATGAAAAAGGGTAGAATTAACTTCACTGTGACCTGGTGGGGTCGTGGTTACAAGTTGGGCTGCCATCTGCATGGTTGGCAGTTTGAGACCACCAGCAGCAGTTCCACATGAGAAAGACTGAGCTTTCTACTCCAGTAAACGGTTACAGACTCGGAAACCCACAGGGGGTCGCTATGAGTCAGCATCGATGTGATGACCGTGAGTTTGGTGATGACTGATATTAAGACAGAGATCGATTCCCTTGACATCAAAGGAGGAGCTCTACACTGAAGGCTCCATTTGCACATCTGAGGACATCGTTACCTCCCTACGCAGCGAGTTCTTCCTAGCTGAGGTCAGACTGAAAGAGGGCCATTGACATTGAGCGAGAGAGCATGGTTTCCGGTAGCTCTGCCTCTCTCTCCAAAGACTTCCTTCTTTCACTATCAGCACGAACTTCTTCCTGACTATTCTACAATTTCAGAATGGAGCATCCTGCTGGCGGCTACAAGAAACTGTTTGAAACTGTGGAGGAGCTGTCCTCGCCACTAACCGCACATGTGACAGGTTGGTCCCACCGTGAAGCCATCTTCTCTCTTCTGCCAAACTTTCTCTTCTCTGGCTTCTCGGTCACTTGCATCCCTCAGTGCTGGTTAAGAGTATGGCATGTAAGGAGAGAATCTGGGGCCGTGGGCTGTTAAATCCATGGCCCAATTCCCCTCATTTACTTACTCTTCATCTATCTAAGAGAGAAAATGCTACCTCACAGGAATTCCTTGTGGGCCAAGTCACCCTCCTAGTTACCACTGACTGTGCCCACTCCGTGTCTGGCACATAGTAAATGCCCTATCAAGGTGTGTCCTACCAGTGTCTGCGTAAATGAAAGCCTGGCGACAAGCATCTAGTAGCAGTCCACTCGAGGGTGCTGGGTTTCATCCTCATTAAACTAGAAGAGTCTTGGTTCTCGGGTTGGGCAGCTAGCAATTGCAGTTCTATTGCTTTGCTGCCTTGAACTTCTATAATATTTCAACTTTCAAAGCCTCAATTCCCTCACCAACCAAAGAACAAATTTTACCTTGTAATGATGTTGTGAGAACAGAATGAAATGATGCCGGTTGAATAAGCCATTCAGTATCTATCACAAAGTTAAAACTAAATGGTAGTTGTGTTATTATTATTTTATTATCATTGTCCAAAGGCACTATGTGACCCATACAGCATGACTCTACCCGTCATCCCACCAAAATGTATTGTGGTTGTTTTCAGTCTGTTCCAACTCATAGTGACCTTCTGTGTAAGAGAATGACACATTGCCTGGTTCTTGCCATCCTCACCGATGTCTGAGCTCACTGTGCAGCCTCTACATCAGCCAATCTCTTTAAAGATCTTTTTCACAACCCTTCTACTTGACCCAGTATGATGTCTTTAGTCCTAGGACTAGTCTCCCCCAAGAACATGTCCAAAGTACATGAGACCGCGTCTCACCATCCTCACTGCTAAGGAGCTTTCTGATTATGCTTCTTCAAAACCACTTGTTCTTCTGGCTGTCAATATTACTTTTATTATCCTTTGCCAGCCCCATAATTCAAATGCATCTAGTCTTCTTCATTCAATGCCCACCTTTCACTCACATTAGAGGTCATTGAAAACCCTGGCTTGGACCAGCTGTCCCTTAATCCTCAGTGACATCCTTGCTCTTCAGCACTGTAAAGAGGTTTTTCCCAAGGCAACGACTGCTGCTTGCTCCCTGAGCATTGGTTATGGGTCCAAGCAAGATGAAATCCTTGACAACTTTAATCTTCTCTCTGTTTATTGTGATGTTAGCTCCCGGTCCAGTTGTGAGGATTTATATTTTCTTTAGGCAGAGTTGCAATCAAAATCCTTTTAAGATGAATTTCACTGCTGCGTCCATGAGTGTTCACTGAAATCCAAGTAAAATGAAATCCTTGACAATGTCTACCTTTTCTCCATTTATCACGTTGCTGTCTACTGGTCCAGTTATGAGGATATTTGCTTTCTTTACATTGAGGTATAAATCATACTGTACAAAGCCTGCATGACCTTCATCAGTAAGTACATTATGTCCTCTTGTTTTTCAGTAAACAGTGTGTGTCACCTATATGTTGCAGGTTGTAAATAAGCCTTCTTATAACTCTGAAACCATGTTCTTCTTCACACTGTCCAGCTTCTTGGATTATTTGCTTTGCATCCCAACTGAACAAATATGGTGAAAGAACACAACCAGGACACACACCTTTCCCAATTTTAAACCATATAGCATCCCCTTCTTCTGTTCCAATGACTGCCTCTTGGCTCACCTACAGGTTGAACATGAACTCCCATTCATTGTAATGTTATTCACAGTTCGTTTGGGACCACAGGTCAGATGCACAGTCAATAAAATGCACAAGGAAACATTTGATTCAGTCAGCACTCGTGGAAGCAGCAGTGAAGAAGTCACATGGCATCATGCAATGGGAAAATCTATCACAAAAAAACTGCCTTAACGTGTTGAAGAGGAAAGATATCCCTTTAAGACTGATGCACACTTGACCCAAGTCCTGGTGCTTTTCATCGCCTCCTTTTCCTATGAAAGATGGACAGTGAATCAGAAAAACTGTAGCACAATTACTTCAGTGTTGGTGAAGAATATTGGAAGTGCCTCCTACTGCCAGGACCCCTTGTAGCATCGTGTGTTGTTACAGGTTGGGCTGCCAACCACAAGGTCAGCAGTTTGAAACCATCAGCCACTCTGTGGGAGAAAGATGAGGCTCTCTACACCCCTAATGATTTAGTCTCGAAAACCCACAGAAGTAGTTCTACTCTGTCCTATAAGGTCGCTGTGAGTTGGAACCCACTTGATGGCAGTGGGTTGTTCTGCTGTGAGCTGGCAGAAGAGTAACATCCCTTTCCGAGGAAGGACAGCCAGAGTGGTCCTTAGCAACATTTTATCAGGAGAGCCTCATTCCTAGACAAATGACACAGTGCTTGGTAACGTCAAAGGTCAGTGGAGAAAGAGGAAGACCTTCGGTGAGACAAATGGACAGTGGTTGCAACAATGGCTCAAATGTAAGAATTGTGAGGCTGGCACTGGACTGGACAGTGATTTGTTCTGTGGCACTTGGGGTCACTGTGGGGGCAGAGCTGACAGCACCCAGTCACCACAATGGGACCCTAGGGCTTTTCCCAGAAGTCTGTGGGCTGATTGTTCAACAAGAGTCAGGCTGACGCGTGCTGCAGTCCAAGGAAAAACAACAGGTGCTCTCCTGTTAAGAGTGTAGCCTTGGCCATTCGATGGGGCAGCTCCGCTCGGTCCTGTGGGATCACTGTGCACCTGAGGGCCCCCACAGCTAGCACCAACACGCGGTTGCAGTCTGGCCTGTCGCTTGCCTGTGGGCGTTTTATCCGGATCTGTGGTTGCAGATACCATTCTGAGGGGCACAGACCAGGAAGCAGCTCCTGAAAGGGTCTCGCCTGATGAAGTCTGGCTCACTTTTAGTAATTGGTTCTGTGTGTTTTTCTTGTGATTCTTACCATGTGTCCTGAGAGTTTTCATTAGAAATGGGGAATTCAAGGGTGGAGTGGCAGGGCGTGGAGAGTGGCCTTAGGTTGGCTTGATTGTTGGAATACAACTGAGAAATAAATGACTTTTTCTCCAAAAAGGCAAAAAATCTCTTAGGAGACTCAGAAAAACATTTTTAAAAGAAGAAGAATTTCAATTTTCTTAAAAGGAAGATGACCAAACAATCAGAGGCACTGATATTTAGGTGCAAAATCCTATTCTCCAAAAAATGTCCTTCTTTCTGTCCCTTCGACACTGTTCCTCCACCTGGATTATTGCTGTATCACAGGCTACCTGACCCTGGGTCTCCTACTGACAGGAGAAGCGAGCCAGCAAGCATTCGATCAGCGCTGTCTAGCAGGAGAGGTCGGAAAGAAGCCCATCTGCCAGCTATATGAAGAAGAAGCTGCCCAGTGTGGCCGCCAATACAATCGCACAGCTAATAGCATCCTAGCCCAACCAATGAAAAGTTTCTCTTTGTGTTGTGATAAGTAATCAAGTCAACTTCATTAACTAGATCACCAGGTTTTCTTCCAAGGTTCCTCTGAGTGAATTCAAATCTCCAACCTTGCCGTTAGCACTAAAGAGGGTGGCTAACAAGCGATGTCCTGCTTCTCATCTTCAGGTCGAATCCCCCTCTGGCTCAGCGGCAGTCTCCTCCGATGTGGGCCAGGGCTCTTTGAAGTTGGATCGGAGCCATTTTACCACCTGTTTGATGGGCAAGCCCTCCTGCACAAGTTTGACTTTAAAGAAGGACATGTGACATATCATAGAAGGTAAAGGAGCACCTCAGCCGAGGTGGGGGTACAGCTGTCTCTTCTGCCCATGTGCTTTACAACCTCGCGAACCCAGAAGGTAGCCTAAGTATTTCTTTCCTCTCAGAAGCCCCCTGGGCTTTGGAGTCACCTGAATCCATAGGAATACCTTGGAGCCATTCATTAGGATAAAGAAAAATCTAAAGCCTAGCGCTCTGAGGTCCAACCTACCTGGTCTCAAATCCTATATCCCCCAGGTACCACTGGCCTAGGATGGTGAACCATAGTAAGATGTTAACCTTGACGTCTTAGTTTTGACGTCTGTAAAGTGAGAGAAATAATAAAGGATCATTCATAAATGCCGTACAAAGATGAAATGAGAACCATCAATGCCTAGTTCATAGGAAACGTTCAGTGGCAATAATAGTTATCCATGTTATTCTTATTCATCCATTAGCTGTGTTGACCCCTTTCTTTTGTTACAGTCAGAAAGGAGGGAGATCTTCCACAAAGGAAGACATGACCAAGCATGGCAGAGTGGTACAAAACCGAACACTTTTCTAAGACAAGAAGTGTGCCCAGAAGGTTTGAAGGGCGAAGCCATCACCCCAGGAAGCCCTCACTAGCACTGCATAGTTTGTCTTACAACTCGTTTGTCAGGTCTACTAGAGAGTTTATTGATCTAGGCATTTTGAGGAGACATCGAAATGACAGGTAGATGGGAATGTGAACTGCATGCACGCTTCATTAATTGGCATGATTAGGTTCCAAAGAGCAGGTCATTTTGTGATAGTTGACATTTTACTAAAATGGAGGTGACCACATCAGATCACAAAATGGAGAAGGAGTACGCCATTACATAACTGCCCAACCCCTCAGAATCAGGACCCACAGCTTCAAGCATTATAGCCAGCATTACCCTCACCTGGCACACAGGCAGTCCATACTGACAGTCACACAGCACTAATATTCAATGTAGGCAGATAGTAAGTGTCTTATTGTTTCTGAGGGTGGGAAATGTCATATAAGGACATAATCACTAACTGAGCGGTAGATGTACTCCGGATATATTGAAGTGTAATACGCTAGAAATCGATTTTATATTACTTTGGCCAAACAAAACTTAAGCTATGAGAGTATATTTTGGAGAGCAGGCACAACTGTCACGTGCTTTCTAAAGACTTGATCTTTTTTGTCTTCATGCAAGTGCAGAATCAAGTTTTATTTGACTCACAATATGAAAAACCCTATGCCACTCAATGCCATTTAATTTGGGGAATGTTTCAGAAGGTCAGCCTGTACAAGAGATTGAATTCAAGAAAATATACTTTAATAAGCAACAGAATACATTCTATGATTGAAGAAAATACAGAAGGAAGATGACAAGTAATATAATTCTGAGTGGCATATCCCATATTTCCACGCTGAGTGTAGGTAAACAAACTATACAAAACAAGAAGTCACTGGCTCCATTGAGAACTTGTATCCTAACCAGCTCAGTCTTGTATGCCAATCACTAAACTTTCTGAGCCTCAGTCCCCCCATTTATCACATGCAGCTTATAGGGCATAATGAAATTTAAGACCATGGCACATAATTCTTTTCTCTTTTGACCACCACAAGCAAGTGACCTAATATTACTCTTCATTCTGATGTTATGGATATATGATCCCAATGAAGATGTATAGAATGAGTAATCTAGAGTTTACATGGACTGTACAGATAACATCTACGACCTGCCTCATGCTCCAATGTCCTCCAGGTTCATCCGCACCGATGCTTATGTACGGGCAATGACTGAGAAAAGAATCGTCTTAACAGAATTTGGCACCTGTGCTTTCCCAGACCCTTGCAAGAATATCTTTTCCCGGTAAATAAAACCAATGGTATGTTATTAGCTCTTTTTCTCTCATGGCTTGAAAATGATTGGACTGAAAAGTTCATTTACTTCTGCAGGTTTTTTTCTTACTTTCGAGGAGTGGAGATTACCGACAACGCCCTAGTTAATATCTACCCAGTGGGGGAAGACTACTATGCCTGCACAGAAACTAACCTTATTACAAAGGTTAATCCAGAGACCTTGGAAACTATTAAGCAGGTAGGACACAGTGCCTAGATGCTGCTGCTTAGAATGAAATCAACTGTCATTAATGCGGACATCATGAGTCACATAGACCAAGGTTCAAATCTTTCCTTTGCCACCAACTACTCACTATGTGTCATAGGACAAGATTTATTTCTTCACCTATGAAATAGGGTATGGATTATTGCATGGATTAAAGGAATACTATGTAAAATGTAAAATGTATGCATCCATCCATTCATTCATGCTTCAAATACTCGTTGAGTGCTTTTAAGGTGCCAGGACTTGTGCTAGTTGCAAGAGGTATATCAACGGGTAGCCCAGTGTGGTCCCATGATGCTCAAAATATTGTAGCTATTATTATTGTCAAAAATCTTGCAATCAGTGGTTCTGAATCAACTATGTTACAACAATTTTTCTCTTATATACAGACATTTCTTAGTAGGAATCAAACTGTATACTCAATGAAGTCTCATAGTAAAAAAGCAACTTCAAAATCAAATTATATTTATAAATCGGAGATTTGAGTTTGTTTTTTACGCTCTATGATTTTTACTATTGCTGAGACCTCAGGCAATCTCATTACAGCAGATAATGAGGACAATGTGCAAATAATGTAGGTTTCTCCGGTCACTATTAATTAAGAAGTAACTATTTTGCAAGGAATTGTCTGTGCCTTCAGGGACGTCCAGATGGAAAACAAGGACCCAACCTAGCTATAAGAAATGAAACAAATGTGGTTGCCACCAGATGTGATTGCCACTCAGAACAACACTTTATGACAGAGGAGAACTGCTACCCAGGATTTCTGAGACTATACATCTTTATGGGAGCCAATAGTCTCATTTCCCTCTCTCAGAGCAGCTGGGGAGGTTCAAAGCCCAGCCCAACACATTACCCACTATTCCAGCAAGGCGCCTAGGAAGCAGAATATGATGATTTCCTGAGGAGAAGGGAAATAGCTAGGAAAGCGCAGAAAAGGAACGTATTTTCCAGCAGCCGGTCTGGAACAGATCACGGAACATTCTAAAGATATTCATTTGAACTGGACTTAAAGGAGAAGCCAACCTTGGTCATTTCTGAGTAAAGGCATCCCGATGGAGGGTGTAACATGGTCAATGGAATGGAGACAGGAAAAATTGGGAAAATGCTCATGGAAATAAAATAATAAACTCCTTTAGTTAGATTTTCAGTGCTTCTCAGTAGGGGTGCTAATTGGACCCTTGCAAAAACCCCATTTCTAAATCTTCCACCATGGGAAATATCACCCCTAGTTAAGAATCAGTGATCTAGAGTATGTAATGTTAAGGGGGATGATAGGAAGAGGATAAGGTGAAATTAAAAAGCTTGAAATGGTTTTAAATTGGGGGCTAAATTGTTTACCTAATGGGAAGTTACCGTAGATTTCTGATCAGGGAAGTGGTTTAAACATAGCTGTCATTTTGGATGATTAATGTGGAAGACAAGAATGAGCGATATGAAAAGAAAACGAGACAAGGGACAGTTGGGAAACTAGGTATGTGAGACTGACGACCAGAACTGTAACCGAGTGGCAGGATGGTGGCTATCGAGTCGCTGTGAGTTGAATAAACTCGACAGTACCGAGCACTGGGAAAAGGGAAGAGTCCCAATATTGGTCTCAACGTGAACGGCTACAGATAATTCTCACCAGATTGCTGAGGTTCAATGTACTCTCTAGGGCCCTTTCTTGGTTTTGATGTTTGTGTATGATTACATACAAGTGTACAGGTAGAGTCTTTAGAGAAGAATTGAAGCTCGGTTTCTAAGACTGGCATTGGATTCTGATAATGAAACTGTATTCCAATTGATGGAGACCCCAGTGGCAACCTAGGGGGTTACACATTGGGATGCGAACCACAAGGTCAAAACCATCAGCTGTGAGAAAGATAGAGCTTTAGAGAAAGAGTTACTCTGTGAAGAGTTACAATCTCAGAAACTCTCTAGTGAAGCTCTATTCTGTCCTCTACAGAGGCCTGGTGACATAGTGGTTATGTATTGGGATGCTACTGCAAGGTCAGCAGTTCAAACCCACCAGCAGCTCCACATGAGAAAGATAAGGTTTTCTACTCCTGTGAAGAATTACAGCCTCAGAAACCCACAGGGAAGTTATACTCTTCCCTATAGAGTTGCTACAAGTCAGAATTGACTCAATTGTTGGGATTCCAATTCCCAAGGCATTGATATTGTCATTGGAAAATCTACGCTATAGCTCTAGAATAGGTTTTATTAGTAGCCAGGTACCATGGTGAGTGGGACTGTACCCCGACTTCACATACCAGCTGATCGCTGTGTAATTCATTCCAATTTGTGGCAACCCTATGTGTGTCAGAGTATAACTGTGCTCTGGAACTGTCAATGACTGATTTTTCAAAAGTAGACAGCAGGCCTAGCTTTCAAGACTTATCTGTGTGGCCTCGAACCTCCAAGCTTTCGGTCAGCAGTCAAGTACTTTAGCTATTTGTACCCCTCAGGTACTCTGACTTCACATGCAAATGTAACTTTAAAAAATTTGTGTGAGATCTGCTTTCACAAAGCACACATACATATATACAAACACACACACATACAATGTATATTGCTAAAATAGCCTCCTAATCCATCCTTTTGCTAGAACTCTGATTCTCCTTACAACTTTGTACAATGCTAAAATTTTTTTCTAAAATAAAAATCGAATGGGTCACTCCATCTGGGCCATCCAAGATAAACGTCTGCCTTCATGGCTAGTTCCTTCTGTGGAAGCCACAGTGGATGCTTAGTGATTTCCCAGAAGGACCCACTATTTCACAATCGTATGTGATTTCCTTGTGGTTCCCATTTCCTAGAGCAAACGATCATCCTTCTCCATTCACCTGGTTAACTCTAATTACATTTTAGTTGGAAAATTGCCCTTGGGAAGCCCTGCTTAACACCACAGTCTGAATTGGATAGGCTTTCTCTACAGAGACTACTTTGTGCTCATCCCACTGTCTACCAGCTTATTGGTCTAAAGCAGTGTCGTGTAATAGAATAATTCATAACCATACCCATGGCCATCTAGTTGATTCCAACTCAGAGCGACCTGCAACTGTAAACCTTTGTGAGAGCAGACAGCCTCTTATAGGATGTTACATAGATATGCATCTCACGACTATTGAGTGCCTGAGTGATACTTCGAACCTAGAGTTTGGTGGTTCAAATGCACCTAGTGGAACCACTGAAGAAAGCCCAGTGATCTGCTTTCACAAAGCGCACAGACAAGAAAACCCTGGCGGTCAGTTCTTTGTAACATATGGCGTGGCCACGAGTTACAATCAACTCCACAGAAGTGGGCTTGTTCAGGGTTTTGTTGGTAAGTGCTATTTTCAGTGGCCAATGCAATTGAAAAACTTAATTTGGAATTGTATCTAATTATAAGACTTAACCCTTTTATGACCCGTGAGACATATATATTGCCCATCAACAGCTGAGCCTCTCTGGTTTCCTGGGAAGCTGCTATGCTCATTGTACTCCATGAGACACCCTGGAGGGTTCCTGGACAGCCGTGTGAGTCTAAAGAAATATTGCTCCCCGCACCACTCCACTATCAGAATCCACGTGGGGCATATGTATCCCACAGAATGGAATCAAAATCCACATACTGTACTTAAAAACATGATTCCTTGACTTCAGAATGCCTTGCACGGTGACACAAGGGATTGCTTCGTTAGCCTGCTAACTGAAAGTTCACAGGTGGAAGCCCACCAGGCTCGGCAGGAGAAAGACGAGGCTTTCTGTTCCTGATAGTTTTATAGCCTCCAAACCTCTCAGGGGCCAGCGCCATCCTGCCTTTGGGCGTTGCTATGAACTGGAACCCACTCAGTGGCCATGTTTGGGTTTGCTGCGACTGGAGAACTATGGCACAAGCAAAATATCCAAAGCAGAAAATTATCCCATCACCATAGAACTTAATGGTTCCATGTGGCTAGCGGCTACTGTGTGGAGCAGCCCGAGCCTAGACTGGAGTTGTGGAAGCAAGTCTCCTTGCCATTAACACAGCGCCTGCCACACAGGAGAAGCTCTGTGAGGACTGGACAATTGGGAGCATGAATGACCATCCTGCCTATGATTTAAATAAATATGCTAAGCACTCCTGTGCTTCAAAAATTATCTTTTTAATCAAATAGAAGTTTGGTTAGATAAATATGCCATCCTTAATTATTCATTCACTCTCTCTTTAGCAAGTAGATCCCAGGTAGAACTTCTAGTGCTGACCTTGCCAACACGTGGTCCTGTATTCTTGAGCACGTCACTCAACCCCTCTGGGGTCTCAGGTCTTCTTCTACAAACTGGGAGGTTGGCATTAATCTATGACTCTGAGCTTCTTATGTGACTCTAAAGTCAACGAAAGCCCTGAATCTCCTCTTCAAAAAAGGTTTGCGTTTAATTCCAGGAGATTCCTAGATGCCCTGAGGTCTACTTAGGTCAAGTTCTTCTGTAATGCCCCTTTCAATTCCCAGTTGACACTATGGGCAGCACTCTGCGCTGTCTTTAGGTTGTACTACCAAAATAGCTTTCTGTTTGTTTGTTTGTTTTGATCAATTAAAAAGTAGTGAGTGCCAAATTTGTCAAACACTTCAGTCTAGGACAGGTTAAGAAGCAATGTAACAAAGTCTCAGCCCACAAATTAAACATTGTTAGAGGACAACCTGAATATGGAAACGGAAACCCATCTCCTTGCCCCCGAGTCCATGCGACTCCTAGAGACCCTATAGGGGAGGGTAGAACTGCGCCTGTGAGTTTCCAAGATGGTGTCCATTAATTGGATTAGAAAGTTCTCTCTCTCTCCCAGGGAGCGTCTGGTGGTTTCAAACTGCTGCCCTTCTGGATCACGGCCCAATGTGTAACCACTACGCTAGAAGGGTTCCTAGGAAAGTAACTGAAGTCGTGTATGGTAAACCTCAAATGACAAGCACAGTTCAGGAGTCCCAGTGCTCGAGAGATGAGGGTCAGCATGGGGTTGGAGGAGAGCGCTGCACATAAGGCAAGACTTGGGCAAAATTAGAAAGTGAAAGGAACTCAGGAAGATACAAAGGAGGTCGTGCACCTAGGGTGGGGCTACACAGGGCAGAGGTAAGGGCAAACCTGGGGACCAGAGTTGTAGTATAAACTCTCTTCTCTTACTATGAAGAACCTTCACTCTCCTTACACAGGTTGATCTGTGCAACTACGTCTCAGTCAATGGAGCCACTGCCCACCCTCACATTGAAAGCGACGGAACCGTTTACAACATTGGTAATTGCTTTGGGAAGAATTTTTCGATTGCCTACAATATTGTAAAGATCCCTCCACTGCAAGCAGGTCTGTTTACCAATCTTGCCTTTTCTTAAACAAGTATTATATTAGACAATGACCAGAAATAGAGGATAGCAGATCAGAATATTAGGATGGCATTCATTGTATTCATAGTTTGATAATTCTCAGACTTAAGGACAAAGTCCTTTGTCCCTACTCTAACAGGAAAGCAATGTCCAAAGTTGAAAGAGCTGTGCAAGCACCACATTGGTAGGATGTGATAGCTTGAAAACACAGTCGGATCACTCGCTCACTCACTCACTCACGTTGTTAAGTCGACTTTACCTTCTAGCTACCCTCTAGGAAAAGGAAGAACTGCCCTCCAGCATTTCTAAGGCTGTACGTGTTTACTGAAGCAGAACTCTTCATTTTTCTCCTATGGAACAGAGAGTGGATTTGAACTGACAACCTCCTGGTTAGCAGTCCAATGCTTAACCTATTGTGCCACCATAGCTGCTTACTTTTCAAAGATGATAGTATATGTTGGTTTTATCAACAAGATTTAGATTCAAATCCAGTAACGTTTTCTTGAGTGGGTATTCAGGTGGCAGACAACATTAATTAAACAAATTAGCCATGGTGGCACAGTGGGTTGAGCATCGGAGTTGTGATTCACAAGCTTGGCAGTTCAAACTGGCAAGGCACTCCCCAGTAGAAAGATGAGGCTGTCGGCTGCCTACAGTCTCAGAAACCCTATGGAGATAATTCTATTCTGTCCAAGATTGCTGTGAGTCATAATTACCTAGTGGCAGTGGAATTGGTTTTTGGCTTTGTGTGTGTGTGTGTATAATAACATGCATACATATAAAGAATTACAACAGTAAACATATCTCTGAACTCACATTAAGTCTATAGGTTCAGAACATTAAATCAGACATGAGAATATATTTTAGAGTTCTCCACTCATCCCTTGTGAATTCATAGAGGTTCAATAATCATCTTGACAATCGACTCACTTGACAGTACATAGTTTTGTTTAGCATTACTTAGTAAGGAGAATGATGAGACTGTCTATTCATGTAAACTTTTAAAGCCGTGGAAACCCAAAGGGGCAGTTCTACCATGGGGCTCTATGAGTGAGAAGCAACAGTAAGAAGGAGAAGAATTATTTAGTCAAGTGGTACTTGAAATGCAGTCTCTGAGTTAATAGTACCAGCATCACCTGGGAACTTGTTAGAACTACAAACACTGAGCCCTGCCTCAGACAGATGGAATGAGACACTTTCCCTGTGGGGCCTGCAATGTCTGTTTTAACAAGTCCTTCATGTAATTCTGATGTAGACTAAGTTTTGAGGACCACCAGCTTGGGAGTAAAATGAAGTTTAGTATGCACAAGAATTACTGCATGGGGCTATTGACACACAGCACTGTGCACATTATACTGTATATAGGCAATGAAAGGAATTATAAGGGGCATCGAGATTACACTCAACTTTTGCTTTGCTCGCCTGATTAGAACTCAGCTCTAGTAATTATGAGACGTGACTGCACTGTACCCTGCTGCTACAGCCCTCTTGGAGAACGCTTTACTAAATTTGGATTTAGCCGCTGGTGAATCCCCTCAATCACAGTCGAGGGTTGTGACGAGCCCTATGAGCAGATAGAGAGCATTGGAACGTTGATTGAATTTTCCTGGGCTACCATAGATTCGTGTAAAATCTTGAAATGACAATAACTGAGAAAATAGAAATAAGCTCTGAACAAAGGTCAAGACTGAAAATTGTATCTCTTACTGTTCTAAATGCTTTGTATTAAAAAATTAAAAAGGCTGTTCCAAAGCCTTTTAAACCCACTTTATTTCAGACAAACAAGACCCAATAAGCAAGTCAGAGGTCGTTGTACAATTCCCCTGCAGTGACCGATTCAAGCCATCTTACGTCCATAGGTAACGCGAAGGCCTGCTATGAATCTTCAGGAAAACTGGAGTCAAAAGACCTGCTTTGCCTACTTTTGATATCAAATCTGATCAGAGCACTGTCTGGAGAACAGTAAATTTAAATGGAATTGATTTTATGTGGGCACTGCTGATCCATGTAACTAAGCGTATCTGTGTGCATTTATCTTGAGCATCAGCCCCTCTCACTTACAGCGCCGCCTTTCTTTACAGCTTTGGCTTGACTCCCAACTATATTGTGTTTGTGGAGACACCAGTGAAAATTAACCTATTCAAGTTCCTTTCATCATGGAGTCTGTGGGGAGCCAACTATATGGACTGTTTCGAGTCCAATGAAACCATGGGGGTAAGTCTTTTATTCAGGGCAAAAGTGGCTCTAGACTGGAAAGGAGACCCGGGTTTTATCACTGGCTGCTGAACTTCAAATGCAGCCACCACGTTTCAGTGGAGGCTCATAGGTTGCTATGATGCTGAACAGGTTAAAACCTGTGGTGCTTAAGGTGGTGCTCCCACATTAAGGGAGACTAGAAAGAAAGATCTGGCAACCTGTTTCCAAAAAAGAATCTGCTAGTGAAGACAAGGGAGCAAAATGAACAGTCTCTGACCACATGGATTCTCTTTGTATCACGGGTGTGATTCTCGAGGAGATGTTGTTCATAATGCACATTCGCCACCCCCTGTTACATGGATCAGATCTTTTCATCCTCTTTCAAGGTTTGGCTTCATATTGCTGACAAAAAAAGAAGAAAATACCTGAATAATAAATACCGGACTTCTTCTTTTAATCTCTTCCATCACATCAACACCTATGAAGACAATGGATTTCTGATTGCAGATCTATGTTGCTGGAAAGGGTAAGGAAAGACAGTGGATACATGTCATCTCCCCAGTCGCTCCTAAAAATGAGGAGCCTTTTACAGAGAAGCTGCTGCTGATATTTTACCTGAATCACATCTACAAGAGCAGCAGAGATGCTGAAGCCACAGCATGTGATTGCAAAAGCAGTGGGGTGTTTAGACCAACAGAAACACAAACAGACAGAAGAACTAAGCCCACTGTCAGCAAGGCCATCTGACTCAGAGTGAGCACATAGGCCGTCTGAGGACACAGATCCTTCTGGCAGCAGTCAGCCTCATTTAAACTTCGTTAAAAACTGATAGGGCCTGTACATTAGACCTAAAAGTAACAAGTGCTGTGACTTGAGCAGAGCAAATAGTTGACATGCTCACCTACTTACTAGCTGAGAGAGCGGAGTCTGAGTTCACCCGCAGATAGCTCAGAAGAAACGCTGGCAATTTGCTTCTGAAATCTCAGCCTTTGAAAATGTTATGGTACGTAATTCCTCTCTGACATGCAAGGGGCCAGCTTGAGTGGTATTTTTGTATTGTAGTAACCTAACAAGTTCATTTACACTTGTTTGTGGCGATGGAATCAGCTCCAACTCACGTAGGTATAACAGAACCAAACATGGCCAGTCTTATGCCGTCTTTCTGATTGATGGCATCGATGGTCTATTTTATGATTATCATGCCAATCCCTCTATTAAGGGTCACTCTTATTTTTGCTGACCCTCTACTTTAGCAGTCATGAACTTACACTTGCTGGGAGACCTTTAAGTCCATTTTTGATTGGGAGAAATGTATATATATATA